CCTTCCCTGGTAGACTAAAGGATCCTTAAATGAAAATAATTTGTGCAACGCTTCTGCAGCTCCCTTCTTCCTCATATTCTTGCACGTGTATGGATCTCGGAATGAATGAATGAGTGAATGAATGAATGCTAAATGGACATTACGCAAAACGTGAGGCTTCAGGTTTGATCATATTTTGAACTAGATGCCAACCAAGCCTCACCAAGAATCCTGAAAGTCTATTTAAAAAAAGAGATAAATTGCTTCCATTGCAAGTTATTAGTTGACCTTTACCTCCTGAGGATTGTGTTTCTGAAAGCAAAGACAGAGTGTGATTCCCTGCATCCCTGTGCTGTGTGTGGGAAGCTATGAATTTCACAGCAGGTGACCTGAAGAGTCTCAATGGAAGAGCTTGAAGAGTCTCAGAACGCTGTAATGACAAGAAGCAGGTTGGAAGGTGGGTAGGGGATGTCCCTGCTATGGATGATGTGAAAACATGAGCAAAAAGCTCCATTAGAGGAGCTTTATAAGCCTCTTCTGTGTCTATTTATAAAAGAAGAAAGGAAGGTCTATGGGGAAACAATGGAGGTCATTTTTTTTTCTGGCCGTTGCAGCCCTCTGGGGCTGGACTTTGTGTCTCATTAGCAACTCCACTCCTTTCGTAAGGCTCGCCCTGCTGCTCAAGCAGCCACGAGACCCCCTTTGCCAGGTTCCTGGACCTCCCTGCAGGGCAGGCCCATCTGCTCCTGGCATAGCCCAAGCACCTAGCCAGAGACAAGCATAGGCAGTGCCCGGCAAGAGACCTGGAATAACTGATGCGGTGAGTGGCCAATCAGCGAGGACCTCTCTCCAACGCCTGGCCTCATTCTAAGCACACCCTGTCATGGTAGGTGTCTTTTACGTGCGCTTGAGACTGCATTAAGCCCTATGAGTTACACAAATGCACAGAAGAAACTCATTGCCATTGATAAACTTAAAACCACATGGGGCATTTGTTGTGTTTTCTGTTGAATAAATTCTAAAATAAACCAGTGGGAGACAAGCAACATGTGAAGGAACTGAGAAAACTTCGATAGCCAAATATAAAGATTTATACTGAAAGGGTCAGGCTAAGAGAAGGTCGTGGTGAGAGGGAGTTAGGGGCAGGATTTTGAAAGAAAAGAGTAACTCAGATTTATGGCTTTATTTTCATCTTGGCGAAAAATAGGGAGAAAGGTGAGAAGCAGCAAAAGAAGGGGCAGTAGAATGAAGGTCTATGGGTGATATGGTGGGATGGGCTGGGTGGGGACGCTTGAAAGGAATTGGCTTGGTGACAATCTGGACTTGTTCCCATAGACTATGTATTGTAAGTACTTTGGTCCTTTGGCACTAAAGTGGAGTTTTAAGAACTTTCCCCCAGCTTGGTTACCAGTCTACACTAGAGTGGAAAATACACAGATACGAAGGTAACTAAGAGCTTATTGCTGGGGGAACCCGGATGAGAAAGGAGAATGGTGGTTAATTTGGGAATGGAAAAGGCAGGTTGAATCTAAAAGACATCAGACATCGAGGGGAAGGGACCAACGGGCCTTGGTGACTATGAGGAGACACTCAGGCTAAGGACTGAGTGTGTTCACAGACAGTGCACGCAGCCCCTATCAGACCAGTGACCCTGGGACGCAGGGCAAGTGGCTTCCCGGGGTAAACATGCCTCTTCACAGAGAGAGAAGAATGTTCTGAGGAGCCCACTGACGAGTTTATCTTGTCCTCATAATCTCCCCTGACAGTCTCTTTGGTTCAAGGGTTTTTGTCATCTAACTCCCGACCTATGTGACACTATTTCCGCTCAAATGGGCACACTGCCCTCTTGTTGGAACAGGTGACAGTGTCGTGGGCTCTCCGCTGGCATCGCCCCTCTGAACAAACACCAGAGCCACACGAGGGAGCAGTGGGATGTCCCTTCCTCACCCGTCAGCTGCTCGTTCCCAATTTTATTTTCCACGAGAACTCACCCTTGACGGTTCTGATGGGGTGTTGATGAGGCTTTTACTGCATGGAATTGTTGAGTTCACTTAGGGCTTGTGCCAGGCCCGTTTAAATGTTTCACTGTAAATTCTGAAAAAATCTGTAGGTATCTGACAGCCTTTGCTGCAGGTCTCATTTCCCCTCCCCCGTTCTCGATCTCCCCACAAGACGCAAGTGAGTCAACAGAATCTCCACGGAAAAGCATCATGTACCTGCAGAAGGAAGTGTGAAAAATTAGGAATAACTTATATTTGTTTAAAACAAGACACATTCTTTGTATTCTCCTTCTGGGTATTTTTTTGTGTTTGTGTATTTTTTTTTTTCCTTGCTGCTTGAGTGGTCTGCTCAGGAAATGGTCTTTCAGCTAAGTGGGTTTTTGAGGTTTGGTAATTTCATGATGTTTCTATAGATTTGAAGAGGCCCTTATGAATTGCTGTTTGCTTCAAAAAAAAGATCTGTAGTTCTGCTAAGATATTATTTTCAGGTCCTTATATTTTGGGTAAAAGTCTAAGCAAGTTTTTCTTTCACATACCTGTCTCTATTTTATCTCTCCCCAAGAAAATAAGAATGAGATTGTTCTGAAATATGGACTTGAAGAAAATAGATTTAAATTTCATTTTGTTAGGTTACTTCTTGTTTATTAATTAGTAAAGTTCTGGTTTTGATGGAAGAGAAAGCATTCTTAGAGGACAGATGATGAAATTGTGTATATCTCTTTTTTGTCCAAATGCAGAAAATAATTTTCCTTTTCAGATTAAGCCTTACTGCTCTGCAGATAAGCAAGTTAGTTTGGGATGTTTTTTATCAGTAATTAAGTCCATATCTTTAGTTTCTGAGATGCTTTATAAACTGGTTAATCATGTTTTTCACCATATTCTGTCTTGTTTACGGTTATATATCCAACCCCTCACATAGAGCTCAGCATTTAGTGGGTACTCAATAAATTTATTGAATAAACTAATGCATTTTTGTGTTTCTTTTCTAATTGAAAAAATGGTATAGCAATTTTTTAAAAGAAGAATTTTTAAAAGCATTCTTAATCCCGACACTTACACTATTGATCCTTTTTGACATCTTTTAGTCTTCATTTAAACATGTACATAGTTTGCCCTGGCTGGTGTGGCTCAGTGGATTGAATGCCGGCCTGCGGACTTAAGGGTCGCCTGTTCGATTCGCAGTCAGAGCACATGTCTGGGTTGCGGGCCAGATCCCCAGTAGGGGGCGTATGAGAGGCAACCAATTTATGTTTCTCTCCCTCTCTTCTCCCTTCCTTCCCCTGTCATGAAAATAAATAAAATCTTAAACAAACAAACAAAAAGCCCATGTACATAGTTTTACATGATTTTAGCTATTGTGAACTTGAAATTTTGAACTTCTAAAAATTGTCCCATATTTTATGTTTTAAAATAGCCAAATTAAACATTGCATTATTTAGAGCAACAAGAAATTATCTTTTAATGCTCCAGGGGATAATTTGAGAAATACTATCCTATTCTCAACAAATATTGTTGAAGAATTATCGTTCATTTTGATTTATTATGTGGACTGGGATTGGAATTCTTGATTAGCCTCACATGGCCACTAAGCAACATGCCACTAAGTGACCTTTCCTTTCATGTCATGAGGCTCAAAAAAAAATGGATGAAGCTTCTAGTGTTCAGAATCATGATCTCCTAAAAGGAGTTAATGTTGCAAAACAGAGAGGATTGCCAATAACTAGAGGAAGTTCTAATAGCACATTTTTAAATTTTCTTTAGGAACATTTCAGACTGATTTGGTGCATGCATTCATTGAAATCTGTCCTCAGACTGACGATAAGCGATTTTTTATTGTTCTCACACTGAATGAGACACTGCTGGGTAGGTTTGTACCCACTGAGGAGACAACTTATGCAAGCTGAGATGTGGAAGCTTTTTCTAGAACAGCTTGCCTGTCAGGTGGGGTCAAAATGCCGCACACTCAGAGTGGCTTCCTGAAACAATGGCCTTTTTTCTAAGGCCTCAGCTGCAGAGTAGAAATGTCTTCTCTAGAAATGGCTCTTCAGGCTTCCTGCCCTGAAAGTTAACCTGTTGCCAGCAAGGTCATTGATTTGCTTTTTCTGTTCCTTCATAGTTTACTTCATTACATACGGGGGATAGTATGCCAACTTCCTGATGGGGTTTCCCTTGGGGGTGGGGATGAGGGCAAGGACTGCTGTGCTCCTGGACCCTAAATAGACCAATACTCTCTCAGCCTTCACATCCAGAGCCCAAGCAAGGCTCAGAAAGTACTGGGGGGTCGTGGAGTCCTGAAACCCACCACACTTCCCTTAAAGGGGCCGGCACTTCCCCAGCCCACAGAGAGGCACAGGCCTTGTCAGAAGCAGCTGACTTTGCTTCATCCAAAAGACAGCCTGGGGTCTACACGGCAGACCTCAGCATTCTCAATAAAAATACCTTCTCTTGATGAACAGAGGTTTGCCATGGATCACAGTGACAAAAAAACCTTTTAAAAAACTTCTTAATGCCAAACAGTGTCGGTCTCTCTACCCGGGCCTAACAGAACTTGGCCGGGGTTCATCTGAGACGTGAAGAAACAGGTGTTAACAGGGCCTCTTTGCTCTCTGGGGACACGGGGAGAGGCAGAATCCTTGCATGAGGTCTGTCATTCTACCTTTTCACTAGGAAGCAAAAAGAAAAAAAAAAAAAGGTGTTGTAGTGGAACAGTCTCAGAGCTAAGCAGACCACACATTATGTTCTGGTTAGTGTCGTGTTTGTTAACATTTGAATTGTAACCAGGTTCCTTCCTTGAGAAGGAAGGCACTAGGGCCCGGGAGGGAGAGGATGGCTTTGTTGTGTGACCACAGAGGCTGGTTACATACTAATTTCCTCTCAGGCTTGTGATGAAGTCAGTAAACCACAGCCTTCGACATGCTCGGCTCGGGCTGCAGCAGTGGCTTCTCGCTGGTGTTTAGGCCATGACACATGGGACATGCCCTCCCTTAACCCGCTCATAGATGATCTCTGTCACCCCGCAGCATGGACCAGAGGCAAATTCTGCAGAAGTTCCTGGATGAGACCCAAAACAAGAAAAGTAACAGAGAGGAGTTTGCTAATGAATTTCTGGTGAGTCCAACGTGTGACACCCTCAGGGTAGTTGCAAGGACCGTTTGACTGACTTGGGTGGTCCACCTCTCCGAGACCAAATGCTCTTGAGATAAAGTGAGTATCAGACTGCGCAGGGGAGAAAGGGCAGAAGGCAACCTATGAGTTCGGTTTCTCTGAGCTTTGTGTGTCTTTTAGATATCCCCTCCAAAGGATTGTTTTTAATCATTTCTTTGCTAGCTCTTGGAGTTTGACTAGAAATTGACAGCAGTCATGCATAATTCCAGTGTATAAATACTAATATTAATTGAACATCTGGCATTCCTGGGTATCTGAATTATAACTTGTGCTTCAAGTGACTGACTTTAATTAACTGATTAATTAATTTAATTAAGAGGAGAGAGGCCAAGGTTAACTTTTCACGGAACATTTTTATGTAGCCTCCCCAGGGGATTTCCTTCAGATGACCAAGACTCTCCGAGGGTGCCCAAACTACCTGCTGCCGCATTCCTTTATTTTTTTTCTTTAATCCTAAAACAGAAAGGTGATTAAAAGATGTGTTTTTGCAATAACAGGGTTTCCTTGACCTTTTGCTTTGAAGGGAGGGGGGAGGGCTAAAATGGGGAGGAGAAAAAAGTGAGGGACGTGGCGAGAACCCCCAGGCCTGCGGGATCAGATGACCGAGAGGAATCCCGCATCTCGGCCGAGGGGGCTGCGATTTCGACCCAGTGGACCTGGGGAGGCCTCAGTCACCCTACACCCCAGCACTCCAGGTGACACGGGTGTCCGACAGCATCTCCCATGGGTATTGGAGCGTTTCCAGCTGGTGCTTCAGCGCTGTAAGAACTTTAAACCTTAGCTCTTCAGCGGTGAAGAAATGGGAAAAATAAGGGAACTGAAGTACAAAAATGTGAAATGAAGTTATGATTCTCTCACCAACCAAATGGTCAACTCTTTGACATGTTCCCTCATCTCTATTGTCTAACTTCTAAAATGGGGAGAATAATTCATGTCCTGCCTGTCCTCATAGGATTGTTGTGATGATCAAGTTCCAGGAATAATTAAATGTGCTCATTCATTCAATAACACTGGTTGAGCACCTACTATGTCCCAAACTTAGTTCTAAGCTCTGAAGATACAGTAGTGAACAAAACAAATACCTTTGCCCTCATGGAGTTAATATTCTGGTACCAGTTCATGCATGTGAAAATACGCTGTGAAGTCTCTAGTATCAAATATTATGATTGAATTATTACATACTATAATAGAAAGCCCTGTGTCAGCTCTACTTGGATGATGCTGTAGGGTCATGAAAAATGTACTCTAATTGCCACTGGCCAGGCGGTCTGAGTCTCTCTGAGCAGAGTTGGTAGGCGAGGAGGTAAGGGTCCTGGCCTAGGTGTCTGCTTAGACAGTTCCCTGCCCAGGGAATATAATGCCTGAGTCGAGTTCACGCGACACACAGAGGGACAATATGAGCCCAGGGGCCAGTGCCAGCCTCTGTTTTATGTTGGTTGTGTTTTGAAAAAAATAATGTAGACTAGCCCTGGCTGAGTGGCTCAGTTGGTTAGTTGTGGGTTCGTTCAATCCCTTGTCAGAGACAAAACTAGGTTGTGAGTACCATCCCGGGTTAGTATGGGAGGCAACTGATTGATGTTTCTCACATTGATGTTTCTCTCTCACTCAAATCAATAAACATATCCTCAGGTGAGGATTAAAATAATGATGATGATGATGATGATGATGATGATGATGATGATATAGACCAGATCCCTAATATCTCGCCCTTTCTTAGCTCAGTCACTATAAGCTCTCGCCAAGTGCTGCAGTCACTTCCCCTCCAGTTCTCTCTGCTGCAGTCTTGCCCCACCTTCAATTGATTTTCCATTCAACGCCCAAGTGATCTTTTAATAATTAAAATCTGGTCACTTTTTCCCTGCTTAGAAACCTTTTATAGTTTGTTTTTTCAAGCTGTTTAAAGTTGTGAACTGTAATACACATTTAGAAAAGTACATAAAATATATGAAAGTATGAATGTAGAGCAACCACCACCCAGATCAAGAGGTAGAACATTGTCAGACTTCCATCTATTCCTTCCCCACTGGGTCCCTCGTCCCCACCCCCACCCTGTCCTGCCCTGGCCTAGGATGATCACTGTCCTGACTTTTATATTAATCACTTCCTTGCTTTTTTAGCTCCTGGTTTAAGGACCTTATTTTTTGGTGATTAAGTGGAACCTCACTGTTCACTGACTCATGTCCTCCAGTGGAAAAACAGTCTTGTTCTCAGCCCCACCTAAAGGTTCAGCTGAGAGAGAAGAGAGACTAGCTTTGGGGGAGTGAAGGAGTGGTGAATGAGGGCAGATTGCTTGCTTGGACGAGGTAAATGTTGCCATTAAATTGGGGGAGGAGGGGGGCCTTCCACCTGGTCATGTCCCAAATCCCACCTTAAGCCCTTAATGTATTCCCCCAAGATTTGAAGTTGCTGAGGTTTAAGGACTGATTTCTGGGACACAGGCCACTGTTAGCCCCACTGGGCCCATGGCTTAGACTTCAGTCCCCACGCCCGCCTGGCCTGCTGACTCTGTGCCGAGCACGCAGCCGTGCCATGACAGCTAGCGCTACGCCATGCTGCTTAGTTCTGCTCCTCTGGGCCAAGGTTAAATTCAGTAACTTTTCTGTGGTTGAAACTGCCATTGACCGCTCATATAAGCTTTTCATGCATTCATTCAAATATTCATTGGTGTTTCCTGTGTGCAAAGCATTGTCTGGAAGCTGGCATTGCAGTGCGAGGCTGCACACTTTGGTGGAGCCCATCTCCTAGGGGATGTCTTAAAGAGGCGGACGTTGAACAACTGATTACGCTATTAAATAATTAATTATAACTGTGATCATCTTGGTGAGGTGTCAAGGCAACATCACATTCATTATCTTGTTTACTACACATTTTAAAAAAATCCTGTGAGGTCGTTGTAATCTCGGACTTATAGAAAGCTGGGGCTCGGAGAGTTTAAGAAATTGGTGTAAGCTCAGTTAGCCGTTCAGCCATAGACGTGAAATTTGACCTGGACCTGTCACTCCAGAGCCTCTGAAATTAGTTTCTTGCTGCAGCCAGTAACACGGAGCCACTCAGAGGGCCTGGCCTGAGGGTGAGGCCCTAGTTAGTATAGTTTCTAACAGCAGAAACTGGAGTGCTCAGCCACACTATTGAAAATGTCTTCTTTTTCTTCTCCATTTAAAAAAAAAAAATTGTTGATTGATTTTTAAAGAGAGAGATCGAGAGAGAGATCAATCTGCTGTTCCACTTCTTGATGCATTCATTCATTGTTTGGATCTTATATGCGCCCTGACCAGGCATCCAACCCACAACCTTTGTGTATTGGAGCGATGCTCTAACAAACTGAATTTTTCTTTTTTTAAAAAATCCCATTGTTGCTATTTTTTTTTTTAAATCCTCACCCAAGAATATGTTTATTGATTTGAGAGAGAGAGTAAGGAAGAACGAACGAAACGTCGATGTGAGACAGAAACGTTAGTCGGTCTCCTCACGTCCACACTCTTAATGGAGGACTGAATGTGCAAACTTCTGGTGCTCGGGACAGCGCTCCAACCAACTGAGGCACCTGGCCAGGGCAAAGCCTTATTGTTGCTGTTCTTATAAAACATTATTGCAAGTTAAAAGAAAATAAATTCACCATAAAACCAACATCCCAACAAATACAATTTTTTTTGGTGTTGAAAAATTCTAGTTCTTGTCCATTTATATAATGCCTTTTATATCACTGTAATTGTAAGCATAGATACAGTTTTTTATTCTTATTTTCACTTAACATCACACCAAAATTATCATGTTGATTAAAATTTATATTAATGACTCCTTCTCTGGTTGGTTTGGCTCAGTGGACTGAGTGCCGGCCTGTGAACAAGGGGGTCACTGGTACGATTCCCAGTTAGGGCACAGGCCTGGGTTGTGGGCCAGGTCCCCAGTCGGAGGTGCGCGAGAGGCAACCACACCTCGATGTTGCTCCCTCTCCTCTCCTCTCTCCAAAAGGAAATAAAATCTTTTTAAAAAATAAAATCTATATTAATGACTTCTGATGGAGCATGGTATAATGAGAAAATAATAATCATAATAATAGCTAATACTTCTGTACCCATTATAGAACCTGTTCTAAATACTTGTATAGAAACCTATTTAATCCATTGAGGAAGAGACTGTTATTATTTCCACTTTATAGATGAAGTGGAGACACAGAGAGCTTAATGACTTGCTCGGGGTCACACAGCTAGCACACGGCGGTGCAAATGAGCTTTGAGTTCAATTTGTCTTGCTTCACCATTTGTACTTGTAATAACTTTAGAGCCAGATAAATCTGGGTTTGAATTTAGGTTCTGCCTATTATCAGCTGTGTGACCTTAAGAAAAGTAGCACAAAGTGGGAACAAATAATATTCACTTCGCAGAGCTGCTCTGAAGATAATAGAATAGATACACAAAATGCCTGACATGGAGCAGGCGCGCAAATAGTCAGACTGTTTCTCTATTGTTGGACATTTACGTTATTTCTAATTTTCCATGGTTATTGACAACTCTGCAATAAATATGTTTGTCCATGTGGTTTTTGGATTATATCCTAAGGCGAGAGCCCCCAAAGTGTTATTACTGGGTCTAACTGGTTAAGTATTGCCAAATATTTCCAAAAGAGTTCTTTAATTTACAGTATCTTATCATCTTCTCTACCACCTTGCTAATCTTAAATTAATAACTGTAAAAGGTAATATAGGTACCTATTTTTTGACTGCTTACCATATACGAAGCAATCGAAGTGCATTCCCATGTATCATCTTAATCACTGAAACTCCAAGAGAGAAGTATTATCTTCCTTTTATCCATAAAATAGCAAAGCCAGGATTTGAAACTGGTTTGAAACTCTAAAGCTTTCTAAATTTTGGGCCCCCGCTCTTAGTGCCCTACCCTCCTTGACACTCAGTTGCTTCCAGTTTATTCATTGATCTTAACTTT